GCATCTTCAGCCTTCTCATCATAATCTAAGTGGCAATGAAAAACAACCTGAAATTAAATTGCTTGAAGTGCCAGTTTGGATTCCACTATAATGTAAGAAGAAGTCATCCCTTGGACATCTTACTGGAAAATCTGCCCCTTCAGCCAATGAGCGACAAACATATGCATATGTGATGGTACATATTTTTGGCATAAACATACATAAAAATTTTCATTTATTTATAATTTTTTTCAGGTGAAATACCTGTACTGAACCTATGCATAAAACAATATACAATTTTCATGTATATGTGATAAACGATTACCATACTGTATCATGTGGCATTTATGGATTCACAAAAGTCATCCATCACTATTTCATTTCGGATACAACTTCTGAAACTCAAACGATATCATAAAAACAAAATAGGTTTATAAACAACAAGCATCTCAAGTTGCAACAATGTTTAAAAAAACCCAACTCCAAATGTTAAAGATGTATCAAAAATTGAAATCTTTATTTTTCCAGATAACAATCTAGAAATTTGTACTCAAAAGTTTAAAAGCTTAAAATTTTCAACTATAAAGCAACAAACAACTGCAATGAGAATGGAACGTTTTACTTGTCCTGGTGCCAACAATAATATTTTCCAAAAAAATCAAACTTTACAAGTTATTATTCTTCATGAGGACTGACCTTGTTCAGAAGAAGCATCAGAAGGTGCTGGTGATGATTTAATTAACTACAAAAAAGAAACAATTTCAAAGAAATACACAGCAGCTTCAATTGATCTACACCAACATGTTTACATGATTAATCACAATGAGTGATCTCCAATATTGAGAATGGAGTTGGGAAGCTTACATCAATGTCAGTAAGAGATGGACCAAGCTTGTCAGCCAATGCAGAAAGATGCTCCTTTGCATCCTGAAAAAACGAAATAATCATTCCATGTTTCATATTGACTGCCTCTAAGTGAAAGTCAATATGATATTAGGATCAATAAAGAAAAAGGTGTACATATTTAGATACACAATAAATTAACATGAAAGATCAATAGAAGCTAAAATGCACAGGCAAAAAGCCTAAAAATCATACAAATATCCAAAATGGGCAACGATGATGCTGAAAAAATTAATAAAATATGTCACTGTCTTCTCATGTTTAAAGTTAGATAAAAATAAAATGTTAAATTTGCAAAATAAAGTTGTCTGCTATGGTCTTGTGGAGTACCAAAATCATTCCTGGTACTTGTTACATCAATGTGAGAAAAGCAACACCTGGCAGCATCCCGATTGTGTGACAAGTCATTAAGTGTATAAAGCTATTAAACCAAAGAAGTCAACTTCCTCAAAATTCAGAACTCCATGTTTCTTTGATCATTAAAAATTCATAAGGTATAACAGAAATATGAAGACACAAAACAAAACAATGGTCATCTGGAAGAACATAATGAAATCTCAAACCTTCATTACATTACAATAGCAACAAGGAAAAAAACATCCAGTAGTCAATCATCAGGAGAAAATCTACTGGTTAAGTTAAGATTTTTATCACAAATAGACATAAAACCCTTGTTTGCCATTTAATAGACCTACTTATATGATTCATCAATATGAAGTCCAGGGTTGATGACTGAAGGAGACTTGACAAGGGAAACTTGACCAGCAACCCAACCCTATAGCTATGAAAATTACAACCTCCACTATCAGATAGTGAAAATCTTAGCATGACTTCAAAAGTTAGACACCCTTAATAGTCATCGGAATAAAACTTGTGGCTAAAAGCAGCTAACTTGGTTCCCGAAAAGATAATGATAGTAACAAGACTTAAATAAGGATCATGATTGGTCATGACAAATTTGTTACATCCTGGGTCCTATAACTGGTTTTCAAAGAATGATAATCAAGTCATTAATCATTCTCTTTTTTTCCAAGCCAAACTTTTAGTACATTTGCATTCATCCCTAACCACAGAAAGAAACTTTTATTTACTCAAATTCTAATATTCCTGATATCTATAACTAATAGTGAGGATCTATTACTACAAGCCTGCCAACAGCTGTTGCATAGTGCTTTAGCAATATCAGATGTTTATGGAACCTAAATTCATAAATAATAAATCTTGTGAATGGTAAAGGCATGAATGAGGTTCTCCACCAATCTTGCCATGTATATTAAGTTCATATCTTCAAAACGATATCAGGATCAAGCCTCCAGCCTGTAAACATTCAATAAGAAAGAGATGCACTGATTTCAAAAATTGTTCGAAAAGTTCTCTAGTTTTCTCTGTATGGACTATGGTCCTCGTACCACTAGTGAACAAAATTATGTTCAGCCAAATACTATCGACAAACATTAGCTTAGATAAACTTTTATGTTATTATTCAACTGAAGACATCAGAAGTGGGCATTGTTTTCATATGTTCACTATCAACCAAAGATTCATATTCACAATAAAACTCATGACCCATGTTCAAGCATAGACAATGCATTCAATGTAACAGATAAAAATTAGATACTCCAGAACCCATCATAAAAACTTCAACTACTATTGAATCATAGAACGGTGAGTCATGCAAGTTCAACACCAAGATTAATAAGACTAATCAAGAAGATTCCATAAAGAAAAGACAAAAGAAACTTGTTTCTTCCATGTGCTATTAGAACACATACAAGCAAAAAGATAGAATTAGGGTAGGCGTTATTGTATATCTTTGTAAGAATGAAAGTAGACCAGCTTCTGACCATGAGCATTCCAGTTTCATCTTAGAACTGGCACTCGTGGTGTTCAAGACAGTAAAGTCAATAGAGGAACAATGGACTTGGAAAAATCTACAAGTTACTGCAGATACAAGACCCAATATATGAGAAAAAATTTTCATCGGCATTTATGGTTTTCTACAATGTTTTCTCACCTACGTCCATGGGCCATAATTTTCTGAGTGTTTAAGTTGGCACATCAACTTCTGATGATAGAAAATGGTGTTATATTTAATCATTCAAATAATTATGCACTGAACAATACTAAATTACACATTTGACAGCAAAATTTTTGTTAACCCGCAAGAAGTGATGTATTAGCTTAAAATTTGAGAATATCATGACCTGCAGACCAAGCTGAGATCGACAAATTTTATCCATGTTTCTTCAATTATATAACTTCACCAAATTCAGCATGAACTACTATTACTCGAGCAAAAAAAAATCAAGAAAAGATAGAGTCACCTCATCAAGATAATCGACATCTAGATCGCCAGAGTTGTCAACATTTCCAAACATAAATCCCAATAGTCGATTCTTCCCACCAATCTCCTCATAGTCCTCTTCATCATCGTCATGAGTCATCTACCGATCAAAAATATAGGAGAAGGCAAGCGACAGTGTTCAGTAATGAAAAACGGAAGGGGTGTAGTTAGGGATCAAGAAGGGGAGAGCGCATGAAAAACCGACAGAATTGGACGGAGAGGGTGGTAGTCATGATGGGAGGGAGGAGCGGAGACATATCGTACCAGAACCGGAGGGCTGGGCGGCGGGGACGACAGCGGCAGCGACGGGCGACGGGCGACGACTGGCTCGAGGAATCAGCGTGGCTTGGC